CCCCAGAGCTGTGAGACAGCAATGCTAGCCCCTGCATCAGTGTGTGATCACAGTTTCCAAGAAGCTGCAAAGGAGCGATTATGGGAATCACACTAAAAGGAAGTGAAACAATCGAGCAAACAAAATAATTCATATATATCATTAGATCAGTCCGCTTCTGAAGAAAATGACAAATTTTCTATTGTGGATACACATCTTCCTTTTTCTAAGCTCTCAATTGTCCTAATCTTACCTGAATAACCAAGGAACGTACCCGTGTTATGACTACTGTCCCACGGCAGGCATCTCACGTCTCTGCCTTGGGAAACCGTTACATTCTAACGAGGACTCATGATATTCCAGGGCTTGCTGCATTGCCCAGACCCCCTTCTGGTAATTCTTCCTAATGAGGAATTATGATTTCAATTATTCAGTTGTTCTGTTTCCTTATTCAATGCCCAGGCACTGCTTTGGCACTTTGGCGATGCTTCATCATCGTTTCTTTTTCCGACTCTGCTGTTCTCCTCGGGTGCAGTACTGTCTTCACTCTCTCTATTATTCTCCAGTTTGGTGGGCTCAAACTTCAGAGGCTTTTCATGGGCACTCATCTTTCCCTGCAATGCCAGACCTGTGACCCAATCTTTTCCTTAGAGCTTGGCAGCAGGAGTCTGCTCCAAAACCAAGAGGCCACCACCCTGAAAGCCAAGGCTCTCTGATTTCAGTCGACGGACTGAGTGTCCGGGCTCCTTAACTCCAGGGCTTGTTGGCAACTAGCCTTGCCTTTCTCCCCGAAGCAGCCTGCACTGCAGCTCCAGTTCCTGGTCATCTCGGTGCTTTGCACTCCAGTCTGCCCCGTGGCTCCTGGCCTTCGCCCCTGGATCCCTGGACTCTGTCCTCCTGGCCTCCTCTTCCCCGTCAATCGTCCGACTCACTGCAGGGGGACAGCCTGTGTCATCCAGGACCCCAGGCTCTCTCTGGGACTCATCGTCCCTGAGGCTAGCAGCTCCATTCCTGTCCTGTAGAGGCCATCTCTTCGACTGCCCTCATCCCTGCCACAGTTCTGGCTTCCCTTCCGGGCGGCCTTTCTCCGGTCCTTCAGGGCTCTTTCCTTTTTCTCACCCTCTTTTCTCAGGCTTCTTTGCTTTTTGTCTTCTTTCCCTTCCTAGCCACCTTCCAGCACCACTGTGGAGTCTTCCTTTTTCCTTCCCAGGAGCCAGGCATTAGGAATGTGCCCTGAAGCCTAATGAGCAAAACCCCGAGGATTCCTGCGTTCTTGGGCTCTGACTGAGAATATCCCCAGCACCTGTGATGATCTGGGGCTCCAGAAGATGAGAGGGGACTAAAGGACAGGTTTCACCTGCCCCTAGCAGATGTCTCTCCTGGTTTGATCCAAAGGGCACCTGGATATCTAATGCTGATTGCATGAGGGCGCTTCCATCAGAGTGAGGAGCCTGGGAGACCAAGCTGACAGTGCACATCTGGCTTGGTCTGGGAAGAGACCTCGCTAAGGGCATCCATCTTCAATCACAGGCTCCTGGGTCCTCCAACTAGACCACAGAGGATTTTAGGTGGCTCCTTTTTTCTTTAGAGCATTAATCTCTCCCTCTACCATTGTGCTTCACCCACTCTTTTTTTTTTGCTGAACCTGTGGGGCATTCCTTACTCTGCAGACCAGGATTTCTTATTTTTTCCCTTGGAATTTCCCTCCGCAACAGTCTGTTAGTCCATCTGCCTGGACCCAGACTAGGGAGGCTGTTTGGTCTCCTCTTTCTGGGAGCTCGGCAGCTAGAATCCACTCCGAAGCCAAGATAGCAACACCATGAGGGCTGATCTGCCACTCTCCGGTCCCTTGCACTTGGGTTCTGACCAATCACCATCCACTTTCCATTGTAACAACCTGGAATTAGACACATGTGGACACACCTGCCCGCTCTTAATCTGGCTCATTACTGAAAGAGGGAAAAAGCCCACATAATTAAATCAGAAAATACATTACGTAACTGAGAAAGAATAAAATCTGCAGATTTGAAAGCGTTTTATTCAGAAAGAAATAAAACAATTGGCAAGAAAATGTGGACATTTAAGTAAAGAATGCTTCCATTTAACTACTTGCAATGAAGACACTCTTCACTCTTAGTTGTGAATAACAGAGTCCTCCATTACATATTGTTGCTAATTTCTTTTGATTGGCTCAATTTCTGAGCTGAAAATTAAATATAGCCTTTTTGACACATTTTAGAAAACCAGATTTAACCAGAGAACCAGAAAAAAAACGATTTTGTAATTTTGAATTGATTGAGTTCACAGCTCATTTTGTTTTAAAGGCAGCTGGTGTCAGAAGAAAGCCCTTCAGCCCTGCAGTAACACTGCACACAAGAGAGACTGCCCTACACTTTGTGGTCACTGATGATGTGTGTAGTGCTTGAGCGCCATCTAGTGCTGATTCCAAACAGTCAGTCAACAGAGTCTGAAGTGCTGAACACAGGAGGCAATTACAAAGCTGAGTCTTTACCTTTAAGAAGAATAAGGCAGATGGAGCCGTGCACGCGTGAGAAAATGCAATTACATTTTAAAACTTGTTTTAATAATATGTTTATTTTCTGTATTAAGGTGCAACATTTACATACATTTACATAAACAGCACCATCCAGTGAAACACCAGAAAGAAATGTGACACACACAGGCTGAAAGCACTGAGATCCAGGACAGAGTGGAGAGGGTGAGGGAAATGGGTTCTCTGTTGCCTGTGTCACAGGCTGGGTCCATATTTGGACAACAAATAGATTAGGAATACATACTATATAAATAATGTTATTCATTGCCTAATAATTTAAAATTTAAATGCTGCTCCCACGGCAGATTTAGCACTGATGAATGGGACAGTGGGCAGAGTTATATACTGTATCATCTTTGTGAACTTTACTGAGCTGAAACATTCCATTCCTGAGTTAAATGAAGGCCAAAAGCAAATTTAGATGGCTGCAGACAAATCTAAAAACTCTTTAAATGAAATAGTAAGTGTGCTGGTACAGCTAAAAGTTGGTTCACAAGACAGGGGTTCTGGTACTGTGTGGAATCCTTTGTGATTACAGGGTGGGAGAGAACATGCTCTGGCTTAAAATTTTATACGTTCATACTGTAAAAAAATAAGAACAAAAACATAATCTAACACAATCAGAGCTTTATGGCATTTAGACATTTTTAGATCTCATTCTTTTTTCTCCTCCTGTGTCAACTATTTCTAGGTCTATCCCTGTTTCTGTTGTACCGAACACAGGATAGACTTTCTCAGTGAAGGTCGCATTGAAAGTGTAGATGTGACTTCTTCTCTCCACATTGTAAAAGGAGAGCTGCCCTTCCTCAATGTCCAGGTAGACTCCAAGCCTGGAGGGAACCAGTTTCACTGAGAGGATGGTGGCCGGCAAAGTGAGGGCTCTGAAGTGACTATTCTGCAGCCGCAGGGTCCAGTAACCTGTCCTTGTGTTCAGGTCAACGAACCCATTGCGTGGGGCAGACTCTCTGATCACTCCTACCCTCCAGTCCTGCTTCCCTGACAGCTGTACCTCCCAGTAGTGTCTCCCTGAGGTGAAGCCCTCCTTCCCCACGACACACCACCACCCATCATATTTTTGAGAAGTTAAAACAGGGTAGTTTGAGCTGGTACTTTCAATTATAACACCCATTTGCACACGTTTTCCATCTTCGGACAGCTTGAGGCCTGGGTTGGCTGTTTTGGGATCCAGCTGTACATCATCTGGATAGAAGTGAAAAGGGGATGGAGAATGATTGTCTTGAAGTGGTTCCTACGCCTCTGTGTTCATCTGTATCTCTGTGGATAATGTTACAGGCCTGCTTCTATGGCATTTGAATACAAGCTGGTTCACATTGAGGAGTATCATACAGGAAGCTGTCTTCTGTTTGAAAGTCTGGATTACTTTGTGAAAAGACCTGTATGAACTGTCAGTGAGGAGAGGCTGAAACAGCTAGAAGGAGTTGTCCTCGTCTACAGATAATGACGTCATGACAAACAACTTTGGAGTGAGTTTACTTCAAAAACTTTCAAATACTAAATAGGAGTTACATTAAAGATGGCTACATACCTGACATGTTATTAATCCATTTCCAGACTGAAAATAAAAAAGACATTAATTTAGTTTAAGGTAATTCTTACCCAAGAACTTGGATTCAAAGGTCTGTAGACAGGCATACTATCTACTATTGTACATTCCATATCGAGTTAAGAAACTTACCTGAGTCAGGGATGTGTTGCACTGCATCTGTGAATACAATAATAAATAATACCAATAACAGAACAGCTCCACCTGTCGCATTCCTGAATTATCTGACTTCAAGTAGGCCTCTAAAGAAATCCAAAGTGATAAACGCTGGGATTGTGTTCAACTGATACTCCTCTTTCTGCAATGATTTTTCTCAAAATTCAGTATGCTTGGCTTAGCGTGTTTGGTTTGCTTATCTTACAGAGAGGAATTCTAAATTAAAACCTATTAACAGGAAAATGGGATAAAACCCACAGGTATTCTCGTGGGAACCATGGCTTCTTCTAGTAGTCCTGAGGGCTGACAACAGTGCTTACTGAGCTCCAGTCAGCTTCTGAGAGACCTGGCCTACAAGGATTCAAATCGCAGAATTTGGATTTTGAGACGGGCATATTGTCTCTATGCACTAGAGAGCCAAGACAATTAGTTGGATGAACATACTAAAATATCAAGGTGATCCGGCCATTACAAAATAAACTCTGTTACAAAAAAGAAGGTGAAATGTGGTTGTGGAGATTTTTGGTACTAGCAAAAGGTCAGATGAAGCTAGAGGCCTCAAGCTAAGACTTTGGTCAGCATGAATCCTGTCTCTCTGGTTAGACCTCTGACACAGAAGTGAATCACAGCTGGACAGTTTCAGGCAGGTCTCTCAGTACACTGTGTCAAGGGCAGGGACTCTGCACTCACCTGCACACCTGAACCTCTGCTTGGTGGACAGCCACAGGTGGGGAATGGTGCCCTGGGGGAAACAAAACCATTTCTCTCAGACACGGGAGGAGGTGACAGGAGCGGAGGTGTACAACATACAGAAAGGCAGGGCTCTGACTCTTCAGCCAAAGTCCCATCCACTTCAAATTCACAGTAACTGCACAATTCAGTGGAAGAATCTGGGTGACTGGTATGTATATCTTGACATTTTTTTAAGTTTGTTTTGTTTAATATTGAAGATCTGTGCTGTGGTTTGCTCCTAATGGGTTTTATCTATGTGGTGTTGAAAGAGCTCAGAGGAGCCTCACTCACTTCCTCAGGTCTGTCTCTGATCACACTCCACATGATGAACTCCAGGATGGGGAGGATGTTGGGCAGAAGACCTCTCTTCCACTGGCTGCCCAGCTCTTCCAGTACCTGGGTCACATCCTGTCCTGCGGACACAGAGCCCTGCAGAAAGACATTGTGTGTGTGTGAGAAAATGTAGTACAACAAGATGAAAGAAAATGAGTGTGAAAGAGAAGAGGAACATTGCTATAAGTCATAGAATACAGAAAAACAAATATAAAGGGACGACTCTCTAGAACATTTTCTGTACATCAGATATTGAGCTGCTTCATCACTACAGTGGGCTCATGACATATTTGTGTCCTGTACTGTACAGTAGTACAGTATGTCCTGTTTGACAGCAGTGATATTGGGCTGGTAAGAGCTGAGTTACTAAGCTGAGTAAGTTGAGTGATAGTCCAGAATTGTGGATTTTTGAGAACCTCTCTGACCTCAGGAAGTGACCTCAAGCTCTTGGCCCACTCAGACAGGATGTGCTGGCTGTCCTTCATCTTCAGCTCCTGGGCTGGACTCTGGGGCTCAGTGGGCTCTGACTGGCTCTGTTCCTCAGCACCACGGACCTCTGATGACCTTTCGCTTGGAGGCACACCTACAATTTTCTGCTGAACACAGAAGTTAATTTTATAATTTATTATTTTATTATTTATAGTCATGCAGTACCCTCAGGCAGGCAAACCGATTGATTAAACATAACAATTAAAAAAAAACCCTCAGATTTAATGTGTTTACCCTTCCACCTGATCCTGAATCCACAGGGAAAAGAAGAGACCAGCCAGCAAAAACATGCTGTGCCTCTCAGCCCTGTGTCTCTGTGTTGTGTGTGATCTTGTCTCTCAGTCCTGTGTGTCTGTGCTGTGTGTGACTGTGTCTTACAACCCTGTGTGTCTGTGCAGTGTGTGACTGTGTCTCTCAGTCTTGTCTCGGTGCTGTGTGTGCAATCGTGTCTCTTAGCCCTTTGTATCTGTTCTGTGTGTGTAACTGTGTCTCTCAGCCCTGTGTCTCTGTGCTGTGTGTGTGACTGTCTCTCAGCCCTGTGTGCCTGTGCTGTGTGTGCGACTGTCTCTCAGCCCTGTGTGTCTGTGCTGTGTTCCTCTGTTTCTCGGCCCTGTGTACCTGTAATGTGGGTTTCAGTTCCTCAGCCCACTCCAGGATAAACTTTTTGCATTCCTTTGGGTTGCCGGTGTCATCGTTCTTGCAGGCTCTTGACAAAACCTCGCTGTTCTGATGCAGTCACAGCATAGGAGGAAGGTACAAATATAAAACGTATTTTTATCTTATGAATATTTTGCTGAAAACTTCAATTCCTTCTTTTCTTTTTTGATTTTTCTTTTCTCATTCAGCTGTATGTTTCTACCTCACCCAGTGAACCCCACACCCTCCTGCTTTTGTGCTACAAATCTTCCCTCCCAGCTGCCCACACCTTCCCCCTCCTCATACCTGGGAGACCCTGTACAGCTCAGCAGCCAATTCTTGGATGACGCGTTTACTCTCCTCCAGGCTCTGGATGTCTTTCTTGGTGTACTTACAGCATCCCTGGTGGAGGAAGCATAGGTGATATGGAGAGCCTCTTAGTGAGGATAAGGACAGACCTCATTTATTATCCTGGTTGCTGGTCACCAATTAACTGTGTCGCACAATTTCTTTCTCACTGCTAACCAAGCCTTTTGTTACCTGCTCAAAATAAAACAATCCTGCAAGTATCCTGCAAATGACTGCTTTGGTAAACCCAAATGCTTCCTGTGGATCTTATTTCATATTGAGTACAGTAAGGCTTTAAGTCTCAGAATCCTGAAGGATTTTTCTTTGTTGTGTGTGGGTATTATACAGTATTATCAATGAAATGATTCATGTATTGATGACAAAAAGTACCAATTATCCAGCCCATCGACTCCTCTCCCTCTCCCAGATTCACCCCCCGTTTCTTTGTTTATTCACCTTTAATTTTTCCACCACTGCCTTTGTGCCCCTGAAGACATCCATCACCTTGTGCACCGTGACCTGTGGAGAAACCGCCAGTTCAACACAGGTTTGCTATCAGTGAATATCGATGATAAGGCCTCAGGGGGCTAACTGGACCACTTAAGTTGATTCTACACAAAAACGTCTCCCTTCCTAGGACTAACAGCTTAAAATCTTAAAATCTCTATCTGAGTATAGGCTTTATTAAAGCCATTTTAAACATAATTTTCCCTGTCTTCCACTAAATCACAGCATTAAGATCAAATGAGCTTTGCTGAAAGACTGAAGCTGTAACCAAGTGAATGGCCCAATGACCTCCTCTCATTTATAACCTTTCTTTTGTTCTTATTATTCCACCTTTATTTTCATGGCTATATTATTCAAACTTCTTCTTAACAAATGTTAGAAATTTGCTTTGTGATAATTGAGCAAAAACATCACCAAGTTATATATTTAGGTAAGTTCATATTTGCTCATTACTGCTATGTTGGGAATCCTCACAGCAATCCCAATATTCAGGTTTCACAGAATTCTCTGGGATTTAATTGATTTCATTTCAACACACAAGAATCTAAAATACGAGGAACTTCTTTCTGTTTCTTCTTTCGAGTGTCTTTCAACCAAACCTCTGCCTAGACTGCAGGATGTTCCAAATGGTCATGCGAGGAGATAAACCGAGTCAGCTGTGGGCTGCAGCTACACGATACAGAGTTGACGTCAGCTGAGAAATAACTCCCATATCTGGCCCTCCTATCTCAGGTTAAGTGCCTGTGGTTTTCTTGACGATACCTGTCACTTCCTTGTTTTAACAAAGCAAATCTCACATTTTACATGAAATCTTTCTGTCCCACATCCGAGAGACAAAGGGCTCTATCCCGTTCACTCTTATTTTGAGAGGTCACTGTACAGTATATGAGTACTGATTCTTTCATGAGATTGGTTTTATTGTTCATGTTTTGCAGTGCAGCAGTTGTCTGTGCTAAGCCTCTCCTGTCCACACCCTTTTCATCTCTCAGCCACTCAGTCAGGATCTGTATCAACTTACCTCAGCCAGGTTTGGCTTATCAAACTCATATGACATACAATTGCGTGCTTTGGTGTCTTCTTTGGCACGTTTATCACCACTGCTGCCACAACTACGACTCTCTGCAGAGCCTCTTTGAGCTGGAACAACAGGCAGAAGAACAGTCAGGCTGTCATGAAGCAGCCAGCGTAAACTGAATCTTATCACTTACTTCCCACCCCTTCTGTTACAATGTTACAAACTGCCACCAGTTGTATTGATTTGTTATTAAATGTATGAGGCTGAACTCAAAAGCAGCTCATACATTTGGAAACATTTTTTTTTATGGTTTCATCTCATGAAAAGAATGTTTATGTCACCATTGCTTCTGATGATTTTCAGCCTTGGCATCTTCAGGTTGTGTCGCTCCAGAACCAAACTGGAGTTAAAAGAAAAACAGAGATAGAGGGAGATTATTAGGGCTGATTCAGCCTCCATTTATCATCCTTTGTCCACAGTCTCAGCCAGTCTGTGGAGGTCCATAGTGGTCTCAGTCTGCGACTTAAGAGCTATTCATCCAGTCTGATCCACCTAAACAGACATTTGAGTACAGTATATTACTGGACTAGGATATTGTATAAGCCAAATTGTCTTAGTCTTGTTTACGTATGTTTTCCCAAGGATGATCTGACATAGACTTTGCCTAGTATTAATAATTTTGATATGTTCGTTTATACTCAGACGAGTGGCAAGTTTCTGAGAAAAGGATGTGAACAGAAATCTCAGACATCTACAGAGAAACTAGAGGCTGAGGATTAGCAGGGAATGAGGAGGCTATTTCACTAGCATCACAGGCTCGTTGGCTGGAGAACCACATAATCTGCTTCATGATTGGTTGAATTCTGCAACTACCTGTTACAAAGCACTCAAGTTAAAGGGAATAAGGAGCTGTCACATTGAGAAAAGCACGAATGGTTCATTATAAAAAATAATCTTGCTCAAATGTAATGTGGTTTGAGTATAAACTAAAAATGCAGCATATTTTTTTCTGTATTGATAAAAGGTCATTCATTTGTGCTGTTTGCTGGTATATGAATTTCCCCTTTAAATGTGACCAATATGTCACTGTTAAAATATGCAATTTAATGTAATGATTTAATGATTGCAAATTTACCATAGAAGGGTGAAGAATCAGATAAAATAACCTATATCACAAACATTTTTGTAATAAATACATTCAGACAGGATTTAAAATATAAGCATATACCACAAGAATAAATAATTACAAATCATATTATTTAAATTCAGAATACAGTGTAGATTATATAAATTCTGAAATTATATATCCTTTTGAATTGTGATTATGCATTTCTATTTAAAGAACAGCCAGTGAAAGCTGAGTTTAATGCGCATATATAGTGTCTTCAGAGAGTATTCACTCCCTGAACTTTGCAAATACTGTTGTTTTACAACCAGACTTTTTAATACATTGAAATGAATTTTCCCTTGATTTACATAACATACACAGCAATTTAAAAACTCTTTTAAATTTTTTTTTTGGAACAAAAAATGAGTACATACATGTGCTGAACTGCACAGAAACATTGCTACCATACCTGCTCACAGGCTGTCTACCAGGTAACAGGTGATACTTGACTGGCATCTCTCTGTTAGATACACCCAACACTGCCTCTTTTGACAATGGCATTAAGTTTTCGTTTTGAAATTCAAGTAAAAATTTCAATTGATTTAAAAAACTGTACATAGAAAAATATGTACATCATTCAGATGACAGAGAAACAATTTTGTTTGTTAAAATGCACTTGAGCAGTGTCTGAAAAGTAAAACAAATGACTTACTTCTCTGCAGCGTTGCTACAGTAGCTGTTGCCACTTGTGTCAAATGGCTACTTTTAATAGAGAAAGTAGAACTAAATGCCATACAAACAAGTAATTCAGGTTCCTATTGTCCTTATGTTATGATCTGGGGTGATGATTATATGGAGGGAGAATGCAGACAAAACTGAAAGGCGAAATGTGTCTGTCTTCAAATGGCAATTGAATATACAGTAAAAGAAAGGTTACAAACAAGAGGAGGCTGGTCAGCCCATCTACTGTAGCTGTTGTGTTGACAGCTAGTTACAGTATGTCAACACAAGCAGCACAGACTCTTTTCTGAGTCTTTTTAGAAAAAGTCTTTCTCCTGCCACAGTTATGGAGAGAATTACACACTGTAGTTTCTATATTTATCTTTAAAAGTGTATTCTTAAGTCTATTAAATGATGTTAACTACTTTTTTACTTCTCACTGAATTTAGAATACTTATACAGGCTGAACTCCAACACAGGATATACTCAGTGTTTTTTAGGTAGCAGTTGTCAAGGACTCTAGTACCTTAGCACATGATTTTCCTGGCAGTGTTTTTGGCTACTCGTTAGTATTTTAACACTAGCACCTTCTGTATGTTTTTTTGTACAATAATAGGTTTGAAATCCAAAGCATTGACTATTTTACAGTCTCGATCAAATGCACTGAATCAGATTGGCTTCTACTGTAGATCTAAAATAGTTTGTAAGTTTGAATTTACAAGCAATTCATTGTCAAAAGCAACACATTTGAGATGATGAGGAAAGCATGCTGTAAAACTATGTTCTGCTCAGTTTAAAAGAAAATTCAAGTAGTTGACATGCAGTGGAATGAAACAGGAAAAAGAACCTTTAACTGTACATACTGTACATTTCCGAATATTTAACAGCAAGTTGCCTGTTCTTGCATTGTTTACATTACATTTAAAACATGGTATTAATTTAATTGGGAAACCAGTTATTGTAACTCTAACAGTCCATGAAGTAAAAACAATAATAAGCAAGATTTTTATATACATAGTTCTTGGTTGTGATTTTATTTGTTTGGCTATTTAAGTAGTAATCCAGAAATAAAGGGGATAGCAATATGTGGAATTTCATCGTTTTAAAATGTTGCTACCGAATCAACACTATACAATAAAGTAATAGTAATCCTTACACTTACATAGTACTTTTCTGGACACTCCAGTCAAAGTGCTTTACAGGTAATGGGGACTCCCCTCCACCACCAATGTGAAACACCCACCTGGATAACTTCTTTCAGTTCAAATTAAAACCCTGTCCTAACGTCTTAAGTTCTAACTTCACTTTAATAAACATCTTATGCAGAATGAATTAGGTCTGATTCCAAAAAAGCTGTACAGTGTAAAAACCAAGTATATACACTTGACTTATCTATTTTTTTTAGGATACTTATATTTTTCTCAGTTCACTCATTTTTCACTCCATAATTGTCTTTGCTTTTCCCAATAAACACAGACCCACTCTTTTCAACAGGGTGTACTGTATATACAGTAGCAGCTACGAGTAATTATCCCTGCCTACAGCAACTCATTTGCTTGGATGTTGGTCTCCATTTTGGCTCAGTGGCCTTCCTTGTTTCCAAGAAGAGCCAAAATGGCTATTTCCAATGGATGCTTCATCCTCTAGTCCACACTGTAATGTCGACTCCCTCACAGTAACGTTTTTCAATATGACTACTAAGGTGAAGGATCTATCAGGTTTAACTGTCATTTTTGCGTGCCGATTGTATTATTATTATAATCATTATCATTGATATGATACATTTAAATGAGAAATAACTTTATCCAGCAGACTAGGAAGATATGCGTTTTCTCGGACAATGGGGGTTCCCACAGAAAGAAGCCTTTCACCTTCAAGAGCAAAAAAGTCCAACAGTCTGTACAATCAGTACCCTCACACAATGGCTTTCCTGCCCTCTGTTCTGTTTTTACTGTTTAATTATTCATTGTGTCGTTTTTATAATGCCTCAGTCTTGTTCTGTGCTGTTTTTGCTTCAGTTACTGTTGACTGTGCTTAATGTAAAACTAGAAACCCTTTAGGGGGGCGTCTGCTGAGAAAGTAGTTCTTCCAGAGCCTTGTTCCTGACTAACTCAGACACTGGATTGCTTTTCGTAATCACACTGTGTAATATTGTCTATGTCCCATGCACTATCTGTTTGGAAATACAGTATTTTGCACAAAAAATACAAAAGTAGTTATTCGGTCTTGTCTAAGCATCTTTCATACTTTCTGTTGAACTTCATATTTGATCATTTCTGATTGCATTTGATGTGTTTTAAATTATATCCTTATTGCTGTCTCTTGATGCTCATATGTTGTTTTGGTTTGTACTATTGTAATATTAGCTGACTGATGTGTATTCTATTTAACTTTTATTATTGTATTATTACACTTAAATTGTTCTTCTATATACTGTAAGCACCGCCAATGCAATAACAACACTTTTAAATGTATATTCTTAATTTAGGGTCCTTATTTAAGTGGAGTTCTCAATCATAACTGCATTGTTAGGAGAGACTATTTTAATATTTTAGGATTTTCGAAAATGATAAATTACGGTCCTGATAAAGTTTTGTATTAGATCTTTAACGCAATTTAAGTTCTGTCCAACAAGCTAGTTTTCTCGCTTAGACAGAATCTACTTTATCCTATCCAGACTTTATAATGCAGAAAAACACATTTTAGGAAACAGAGAGAGAAATTTCTGTTCGTTTGAATATCCAAGGAAGGTTCAGTTGTTTGAAATGTCTTTTTTGTGTATCGATTCTGTTCAGGCACAGCCAGGGACTGCCTGGTACAGCAGAAGGGGTCCTAAGGAGTCTTCAGCTAAGTGTCGCACGTGGGTTTGACTCGGGGAGTTTCATCAGACAGCACTGCCGGTTTTCAGTTTCAGTTATTGGCATTTGATTAGAAAATTATTAAAAGTCTGTTTAAGACCATCTCGATCCGTTTTAAAAAGGGGGTGAGTTTTATTGTCGTTGCTCCAAAAACAGGGATTCAATTTAGATTTGATCATGTCGATCGATCTGTAATGAGTAGAAGTTATGTTGCTAAAATGTGTGGAAGTTTGTGCTGTCTTTGAAGAAGAAGAGTAGAAATGTTATGGACTCTTAAATTTGCACATTTAATATATCATTAGTTTTTTATCCTGTTATTAAATACTTTAAAATGTAGATTTTTCTCCTTATGTATGTCAGAGACCTGCAGGTGAATTGTAGGCGGGGAGGTCTGGTGTACCATCTGAAGGATAGATCTGCTAAACGCAGTTGCAATAATTACAGTAGCACAGTGTGATTATTTTATCTCTGATTGTGTGGCATGAATGAAAATCGGGAAGATGACTAGTCGAATCGCTGACAGGTCAAGTGCAATATAAGGCGTAGAATTGATCACCCTGAATATAATGCGAATTCAGATCCCTCTTTTTGTTCCCGGATATCTATCATATCTGCAACTCACTAGCATAGTTATACAAAGAAGAAATAAAGCTGCAAAATAAGTTAAGATGGAAGGCGAATTGATCCTTCTATAGCAACCTTTATGGTGTGGCATCCCAGGGTGTTATAAATGTTTTTAAAAGCAAATACGTATCTATTTAACACTTTTAAAAATAAACGTTTTCAGATTTCTTTAAAAGTCTTTCTGGTACAGATTCTAACAAGAGGTTAAGAAAAATAGGGAATAACAGCTAATGGGTCTAAATTGACTGATATTATCTGAAGCTGATGTCTAGAAACAAACAGGAAGTCTGCATCTGTTTAAATCAAATGACAGCTCAACAAAGACTTCTAACATAAATGGAGAGAGTGGACCAAATGTGACATTAAATGGATGCATTATACTTTTACTGTTATGAATGTATTTGCAGGTGTGTGCATGGAAATATGTAGAGTGCAAGGCCGATAGCCGCCAGAGAGCAATTCAGTTTTCAAACAGGAAAATGAGTCTGTTGTGATGGTCTAGCTCAGCTGAATCATGAGCTTACAGAAGCCAGGGCTGCTCTGTAGCGAGGTGCTCAGCCAGCAGGAAACCTGCCTAAGACCTGAGTGTCTTGACTGCTTGTTCTGTTTTGGAGGCTTCCTGAAAGCTCTGTTTCTGGGCTGGTGAGGCCAGCATTTTTTCTGTAGAGGTTTTGGTGTTTCTAAATATAATATTTTTTTAAAAAAACTTTCATCTATGCTTCATGATCAATTGTAACTTTATATATATATTTTCCTAGAGCCCCTATCAACTCAACAAAACATACTTTTAGGGCATTCTGTGTGAATTTAACAAGACAGTGTCATATTGTGAAAAAGCACAATATTAATAAAAGCAATTTTATAGAAAATATGAAATGCAAGCAGTAATAATCCTAATAGTCCCTGGGATTTGGCTGTTTATATACATGGAGTGGGGGCAGAACACCTGAAAACACACCCAAATGAATTAAAAAGCTAACAGTGTTTGGAATGATATGATATAGCGAATTTACATCTATTGGATTCAGTAGGTCTCTGTTTTTTTCTTTTCTTTCCTTTCTGCCACACTATTTAACGAAACTGCTCGTCTTGCATTTCTTTTTTTTTATCTGCAGCATGGCAACTCTGTACGTATCTGGGCACCCAGATGATTTCCGTTGCCAGCTTGCCCTTGTGGCAGCGGAGTTCTCTCCCTCGAAGCCGGCTGTCAGCGTGGTTACAGCGCCCCCCGGTGGCCAGGCCTTGCCATGTCTGGTGACGAGCGACGGCCTGGTCCTGTCTGGGGCCCCGGCTGTGAGCTATTTCCTGTGTCCGGACCAGATGTGTGGGACTGGGCTGCGGGACTCCGCTCTGGTCCATCAGTGGCTGAGCTTTGCCAACATTGAGTTGACCCCGGTGGCTTGTGCTGTGGCTTTTCCCCTGCTGGGGGCGCTGAAGGCCAACGATCAGGTGAGAGCGGTTCAGTGTGCACAAGAGGTGAGACAATTTGTCTCGGTACCTTCCCAGTTTGGCTCAGTGCCTCCCTATTTCTAATGGGCTAATGATATGATCCAGGCTTACATTGCAGCCGTGGCCCATGGTGAGCAAGACCTTTACAAGATGATCAACTTGCGAGCCGTGAGATGTGCTTTTGCATTACTCCTTTGGCCTGTGTGGTTCTGCAGGCCGTGGAGCGTGCCCGGGCAGAGCTGCAGAAGATCCTAGGGGTGCTCGATGCCCACCTGAGACTGAGGACCTATCTGGTGGGGGAGGCGGTGACGCTGGCTGACATCACCATGGCGACCACTCTGCTGCTGCCCTTCAAATACGTGAGCCATTTTCTGCTTTTCCTCCTGAGATCCTGCCGCCCCATCGTCTTACTGTGGGCCTTCGCATTTGGAGAGCTCGTGACAGGGATGGGGCAGAGAGCAGAGCCCTTGACGTCTCAAGAAGACTAGTACATTAATACTTGTCTCGCACCAGAAGAAGGCTCCACAGCCGAAAGGTTGTGTTTCCTTTCTTCTCTTTTCAGCATGGAATAAACCTATTACTTGTTCCTTTGCAGCCTACACATGCTGACGCAGCTACCCACCTGAACTAGTACATTAATAGTGTAAATACCAGCAGTAATAGGCAGAGGAAACGACAACAGTAATGCTTCTGGTTCTGATTTTAATAGTAGTTCAATTTTATAAGACAGTTTTTAAGCACTCTGACTACCTGGGTGTCAGGTGTTGTGCCTCATATTACAGTTCACATATTACAGTTCCTTTTCTTAGCCGGCCAGGTTCTGTGAACCCAGTGTTGATCATGTAGACCTTGGAGAGGAGAGGATGTTCCTCTGCTGCAGGCTGTGTTTAGTCTACTTCAAAGCTGATGAGTCAGGAGCAGTAGATGGGGTCTCAGTGGGGATTCGGTTTTGTTTGCCAAGCTGACACTGATGTCCTTTTCAAATACCATCCCATCTCGCAAGAAACGGGAGCGGTTTTGGGTAAACGGGGTTCTGTTGATGCAGGTGCTGGAACCTGGGCTCCGGAAACCCATCATCAACGTGACCCGTTGGTTTGTGACCTGTTTAAACCAGCCCCGGATCAAGAAGGTGCTGGGAGACGTTGTGCTGTGTGAAAAGGCTGTGCCAGTCAAGGCCTTGCCAGCGGCTGTTAACGGAGTGCCCACGCCCAGCAGTAAGTGAGAGGGGAAGGAGGCCACAACCAGATCTGTGTGGAAATCTGTGTGAGACATTCAGGATAAAGAACGAAAGGGACAATTGTGTAGCCAGTCAGCCCTAACCTGCCTCACAAGGACGTGGTGAGAACATGCAAACTCCACAAAGACAGGCATGCCAAATTGGTATTGAGTTTGATACCCTGGAGCTGGGAGACTGGGCTGTATCAGTATCATAGACTGGGCTGTACCAGATGTCTGTTATCTGTGAATTGTTGCACTGTGCTGGGTTTACATGTTTTATGAGTTTATGGTTACAGTACTTTGGGTTTCTTTTTTAAACAGTACATAGTTTCTTCTTAAATAATACACTTCACAAATAGTGTATTATTTAAGGATTATGTAGACATGGAATTCATTACCAGGGTATATTCTTTGTTCAGAACCTTCAATGTAAAACAGTTTCTCTAGACTGGGCAAGAGAGAGTTCACGTCCTGTCTTCAGTGAGCACTTCTCTCCCTTTGACCTTATGTCCGACTGACATAGTGGTTTCACAGAGCTATAAAACCGGATGGAGAATCATTGCACCAGGAATTCTTGAATTCCCTGTCACTGCAGGCCTGCAGCCGCCTGCCGGCTCCCAGCCCAAGACCGAAGCCCAGCTGAAGAAGGAGGCGAAGAAGAGGGAGAAGCTGGAGAAGTTCCAGCAGAAGAAGGAGATGGAGCAGAAGAAGAAGGAGCAGCAGACTGAGGTGCCTGATACCACCTGTTGTTCAGTCTCAGGCCACATACCCTTACTGCAGTCTTTAATTGGGGTGGGCTTCAAAACTAGATGGAAAAATTAAAAATCAGTCAAAATCTGAAATATGTCCCTTTATTCTTTGAGTCAAAGAATACATAATGAAATGTATGTGCTAATATAGCATCTTTTCCTTAAGTACTGGTGGTAAACTAATTTAAAAAGCAGGTTTGATTCTTTTCACTGTCAGCCTCACAGCTGTCACCAGAGACAACTGAGAGTTTGATTGTAGTCAGGTAAGGATTTTCCATTAAAATGAAGCCAAGCTGGTAACTGTATGGCCTGACAAAAAAGAAAAGCCAATGAAAAGGGACTTTCCTAACTGACTTTACTCTGTGTTCCTACTGGGATCATGATCAAGACTTCTCCTATTCAGACATTCCCTTTAAGACGTTTTATTTTTGCCACAGAAAAAGCCTAAACTGGAAAAGAAGGAACTGGGAGTCATCAGCTACAACCTCCCAACACCTCCAGGAGAGAAGAAAGGTCAGTGCCTGATTTTCAAAAGGAGCCAGACAAGCTCCCAGTGACTGAACTGTTATTGTGTTAATGAGCCCAGAACAACAGTGTCAGAGTTTCAATTGTGTTTTTAGCCAAAGCGAAGCACCTTCCTTGCAATTAGGAAGATGGTTCCAACAAGAAAAGTTACAGCTGACCTTTTATACACTTACTTGATAAGGAATACAAGTAACTTCAGTCTTAATTAATTTCTGTTGGTTAAGCAAACTTCTGCTTTAATCGGAAGATGTCTACGTAACTAAGCTATATCGGTGTTTTCTTCAAGCGGGTAGTTATAATTGGCCTTCCACACAAAATAATTATTTGGGATTCTTAAAACAAGCATTCTTTGTGGCTGCAGGCCCTTAGTCTTATTGGCAGCAGATACTGAAATGTTGCAGCTGGCATTTTGCTGAAACAGATAAAGAATTTTGAACCCTTCAGTATTAACCCCTGTCTCTCTCTGTAGATGTGAAGTGCCCAATGCCTGATTCCTACAGCCCCCAGTATGTGGAGGCAGCCTGGTATCCTTGGTGGGAAAAAAACGGCTTCTTCAAACCAGAATATGGGGTGAGGGGAAAAAACTAAGGCTCTGAGGCCCACTTCCGGATTCGTATTTTAAATAGAATATCAGATACAGCAAGAGCACTTCATTTACCTTTAATTAAGAATTGTTGGAGATGCATATTTATGAAACTCTGCTTTCTTTCTCTCTTTTGAAATCCAGCGGAAGGATATATCAGAGCCCAACCCCAAAGGTGTGTTCATGATTTGTATCCCTCCGCCTAATGTAACTGGATCTCTCCACCTTGGCCACGCTCTCACCAACTCCATCCAGGACTCGCTGACCCGCTGGTGAGTGCGGGTTTGTGTGTGTCTTTAGAGCTCGTGCCTGCCTGTCTCCATCTCTGGAAGTGTGTTTGCGTGTCCATGTGTGCCGATGTGAGTTGTGTTGCTGTAAATGCTGTTCACTACCCATCCGTCGGCCCCTGTCTGTGTGCAGCCCCAGCGATGCCAGCCTGTCTCTGTGTCTCACTCAGGCACAGGATGCGCGGCGAGACCACGCTGTGGAACCCGGGCTGCGACCACGCTGGTATCGCCACCCAGGTGGTGGTGGAGAAGAAGCTGTGGCGGGAGCAGGGCAAGACGCGGCACGACCTCGGCCGAGACGCCTTTATCGCCGAGGTGTGGAAGTGGAAGAACGAGTAAGTAGAGTAAATGGTTCAAATGGCTACAAGTTCTTTATAGACGTTTATCCCTCCTGTGTCTTTATAGATCTCAGTCATGAGGTCTTCACTCCTGTCAGCTGGGACGGTCAGCCAGCCGAGCAGAGGAATCACTTTCAGATCTGTGCAGTTTAATGCAAAGTCCACACAGATCACAAGCGCTTTGAGAAGCCACATTTAAAGGCGCTATATGAAATATTTTATTATTATTTTTACACTGATAGATCAGTGCTGCTTAATCCTTGCATTGTTTAGTAATAGTGTTGTTGTATACCTTGTATACTGTAAAAGCACAGTAAACCTTAATAAATCTCAGTGAAATCATGGTACAGAGTAGTGAGGTGACCTAAAGTAAAACACAAATCCAGGATACCTGGTGTAAACTCAGCAAAAGCGTGCTCAGAAGCTACAAAACCGCCCTGCAGGTATATTTCAGGTATAAGACTGATGTTTCATTTTCCTACCAGGAAAGGTGATCGTATCTACCACCAGCTAAGGAAGTTAGGTTCATCTCTGGACTGGGACCGGGCCTGTTTCACCATGGACTCCGTGAGTACGAGATGAATTTCTAATGGGTTCTTGAAGCTACAGTGCAGAGGTCACAGACGAAGGGGGCAGTAC